GCTCCCTGATGGCTGATCCCCCTGTCTGGGCAGAGTCACTTGTGGATGGCTCACAGGGGCCAATCCAAGGCAGAGAAGGGTTCCAGCCATCTGCTCAGTGGGTCGTTCATGCCTCCACATCTGTAGTATGGGACTGTATACGGGAAGGGCTGAGGCCAGGACACGGCAGCTGCAGAAACGCAGGTGCTAGTGCCCATAGTCACTGGTACTCTGGAGGCACACCTGTTGTGTCGGGATGCCTGAGAAGAATAAATGGTGAGCCTCGCTGTGGATGAGGGCCACCTCACTCCCTTTTGATGCGGACAATTTGAGGACAAGAGCCCACTTAGCTTGACCACAGGAAACACAGCCTCCTAAAAGTATGTGAAGCTGCTTGCCATAGGATGTTGGGTACCACACTGTGTTGTTGTCACTCGGAGACATCTGCAGCTACTGAGCATTTGAGGTCATATCAGCTGCTAATGACCCACTGCCTTTACCTGCTGTTCTGACAGTGGGGTTACAAGCTGGTCTGGTGTTCTGCCTACCATCGCAAGAGATGGATCTTGGCTCAGGCAGCTCTCTGACCAGGAAAATTCGAGGGTGAGAATCTGAGCTGCTTTCTTGTTCCATGTGAGGAAAATATTCTCCAGCAGTCATTGTGTGCTTCAGACAAGCCAGACACAACTGTAAGCATTTTGTGTGCATCATTCCACCAACCTTCACAGAGCCTCTGGGAGGCATGTGACTATTCCCAGTTTACCAAAGGGGAAACGGAGGCTCTGAGACATTCAGTGACTCATTCAAAGGCATTCAGCTAGCAGATGCAGGATGAGGTCCCAATCCAGGCTACCCTAATGCAGGGTCTCTAAACCAGTACATAATATATTTTTTCCTTCTCTACTTGGAAGCTCCAGGTACCTTTCTGCCTTTGAGTTCAAACCCAACTACTAGATATCCCCAAAGGGTGAAGGAAGTCCCTTTCAGACCTCAGTCCATCTACACAGTCTTCCTTTCCAATCCCAGGGCTGATGATGTCTTTGAAAGGGTGACTGGCTGCACATTCCCTTTGGACAAGACTATGCTTCTCCACTGAAAGGCTGTCTTGCTCTCCCAAAGGTGCTCCCCCACCCCCCACCCTGAAAAATGCCTGTACTATCAAGTGAGGTTATAGGTACAGCCTGTTTGCTTCTGAAGGCTTTTTGAAGAAAACTGATTGGGGCTGGGTATGACTGTGCTACCTTCTCCTGGCTGCCTAGAAATAAAGTGAGCAACATGAACACAAGCTACTGTGAGGAATGAGCAGCCATAGGGAGGCAGAGGAGCCTGGATGCCTACAGAGAAACCTATGCTCTGAATCAGTGACTGGACACAAAAGGCTGTCCATGGGTTCAGAGGGATGTGTACAAGGCTCGGGCTATGTCATTTTATGGAAGGGACTTGAGCATCTGTAGATTTTAGTATCCCAGGGGCTCCTCAAGCCAATATTCTATGGGAAAACCAGCATGTGTGTGCATGTGTACCTGTGCATGTGGGTATGCATGTATGTGTGCACATTGTGTATGCATGTATGTGTGTGTGCTCATGTGCGCATGTGTGTGTCCTGTGATGGTTTTGCTAACTAAAAAGTCTTGTCCCATGACAACTCTGAGTTGGCATAAAATTCTCCTGAAATTATTGTTTTAATAAAAAGTATTAACTTCCATATAACTGAAGAGAAAGGTAAAGTAAATTTGAAGCAAGTTTCACACTCAAAACCTTGGCTCCCAACAATTTCACTTTGAGGCAAAAGTATTTTAGGAATTACTAAGAAAGAGGAATATTTTTTTTCTCCTGCCACAATGGCTTCAGAGTAGCACACTTTCATTTTTTGTAGCCTCGCCTTTATTCTGGAAAACAAACTTAGCTAGACTGTCTCACTCCGTACTTTACTTCTTTTGGAATTTCTTGGTGTTTTGTGGGCTCTGGAAGTGACTTGTATTCTGATAAAATCTGGAGCCTCTGACTTTTTCTCCTGTGCTGGACCATTATTTCCTGTCAGTGTATTTGGAGATCAAATCTCTCTCCTTGAAGTAAAATAGTTATTGAGGTGAAATCTTCATTTCCTGTTGCTTATTTTCTATAGATGTTTTAAGTATTTAACATGCAGGTTCTGTGTTTCAGGTTTATTATTATTATTTCTAGAAACTGCACCCGGGGCCTCCTGCATTGGTCAAGCACTCTCCCACTGAGCTGTAGCTCCACCCCTGACTAATACTTTTCCCTGGGAGGCAGCAATTTGCTAAGTCACCCAGGGAAGTCACCCTTGACTGCTTGGTCCTCCTGCCTCCAGTTCCTGTGGATCTGGGATTAACAAGCCTGTGCCTCCAGGTCCACCTCTGGACTTTCGTTTTCTTTTTTTTTTTTTTTTTTTTGAGGAATGTTATTGTGAGCTATCCTGCTGGGCTTTCTACTTTCCCTCTTGGGAGCTCTTCATTGTCAGAGACCAGCTGGCTTCCTGTTGGGACTCTGATCTCTTCTGCACTGACCATCCACTCTGCAGTTGTTTTCATCTGCTGTCCATCCTATTCACTGGGTCGAGCCCCACCCCCATGCCATCAGCTTAGCATTGGCAGTAGCTAAAATGTCATTAGACCCCAAGAGGACTGTTACGAGCCTCTGTTTCCTGCATTCTCTTTTTATTTTACTCATTTCTTTTCTCATCATGACTTGATAGTATAGTGTGTTTGTCTTTTAACTTAGTATTTCACAGATCACTTGGGATCTTCAGGTTTTTCTTCATATTTGTCTCTTTGCTTTAGGTCTAATTTTTACTGATGTAGACCATTCACTCAATCTCTTTTATTTTATCTGCTGTTTAATGTGTATACAGAATTCTTATACCATTTGTTCCTTTAAAAAATTTTAGATTCATTAATTTTTTTATGTTATGTGTATCATGTATCATGTGTGTGCCTAATACCTGTGAAAAGGGCATTAGATCCCTTGAAACCTGAATTATAGGTGGTTTTGAGCCATCATGTGGGTACTGGGAATCGAACTCTGATCCTTTGCAAAAGCAAAAGGTGTCTTAACCACTGAGCCATCCCGGTCTCATTTGTTCTCATCTAATTCATTTTAATATACATGTTTATCCACTGCACCTTCTTTCTCTTTAATTTACGCTTTCAATTCTATATTTATTGTCATCCATTTTTCTGTATTCTGCTCGAATGAGCACAAGGCCGTGGAAACCAGTGAGGAAAAATCAATCCAGCCTTTATTGGGGAACTTGAGACTTCCTGAGATCTTGCATGTGACTCCTACTGGATGCTTTCCACGTAGTAGGTCTGCCTCTTCATTCCATCTCAGAACACAGGTTCTGTTTATACATTTGTAGTGTGTTAGGCAAACTTCTTCTGCCTACTTCTGCTCTATTATGTCATTTTGCCATTCTGTTTCAATTATCATAGCTTAAAGTAACAATATTTTCATATGCCACTTGATATAAAATGTCACAAATGAACACACTGTAATGTAATATATGTGGCATTATATCAATACATTAACTTGTTGTAAATATATATGTTGCTACATGTAGGATTTTCATGGGTTTTTTGCTGTTTTTTTCTCCTCTTTTTCTTTCTTTCTTTCCTATATTTATGTTTATATTTTCTGGAAAAACTCTAGTATCATTGATTTGTCCAAAAGCCTTTGCTATTTTTATTGCAGTAGATTACTTTTCAAAATATTATGAGAAGGAGCGTGGCAGTCAAGGTCAGCACACATCCTCCTTGTCAGTTAACTTTGTGTGTAAAATTTTGAAATTTCTAAGCATTTAATATTTCTTGCTCTTGTAAATATTAACTTTTCCCTTAATTTTTAATTGTTTGATTGCTAGAGTGCAGGAGTCAAACTAGTGAGTAAGAAAAATTATTAGTAGTGAATCACGATAGTTTTAATAATTAGGTAGTTGCCCTTCTTGAGTTTTGAAGAGGGATAATCCTATTGTTTCTTATAATTCTGTCTCTTTTATCAATATGTACACCTCCTAATGGATTTGAGGGCCGTCTACAGTGACAGTCTCTTCTAGAACAATGCTGAGCTGGATCCACAGTCACTTCTCACCTTGTGCTAGGTGGCTTCCATTTGTCCTTTCAGCCCTGTGTGCTCAGCCTGAGCTGCTGGCAGGCCTCAGGTACTCATGTCCCAAGCTGACCTGGCTTTCCTGGCTCCAGGCTTCAGGTTGGATCCAGGTGCTGAATTTGATTTCCTCTTGATGCATTTTGTGTTTCTATCCAGAGGTGTGCTTCTCTGCTGCTATCTAAGCCAAGATGAGTCTGTGGTTATCTGGAACTCATAGCATCCGGAATGGCTTTGCCAGGTCTCTCACCACTGCCTCCTGGGAACCCTGCCCAGACATGCTCTGAGGGCTCTGGCAGATGCTTGCTGCCTTCCTGGCTCTTTCACAGACCTCCTCAGGTCTGCACTGATGCACAGGAGACTGTCCCTGCTGCTTTCCCTTGCTGGGAGGGCCTCATCCCTTAGCCAAGGCTTTCCACCTCTGCTGTGCATGCAGTCACTGGGAGTCTAGTTCAGAGGCCTGCTTCTCATTCAGCAGGTCCATGATGGAGCCTCAAAGGCTGCTTTTTTTTTTCTTTCCCACAAGGCCTTGCAGGCTCGGCTTTTGGTGGAAAAGTGTAGTCCACAGGATTTTCACCCCCCTTTAAAAAAAATTAATTGCTAATGGCAATATACAGGGGACATCGCAACAAATGAGGAAAACGCTGTCTGTGTCTACGTTTATCAGATACGTGTTCATCTGCTTGGTTTCCATCCACCTGGAAGCTGTGGCAATCCATTATCTCAATGGGAATGAAATACCTTGCCTAAAGCGTCCAAGTGAAGGTATCTCAAGTTGAACAACCATCATCCTTTCCTAGGTAGCTTATGGCCACCAAAACAACAGCCTTAACAAGTATCCAAAAAGTCAAAATCAAGAGAATCGTAGCTATAAATGCTGAAGTAGACACAGTAATGAATGCTAGACATTCTAGTTTTTATTCAGCTTGATAAGGCTTGGCAAGCAAACAGCTATGCGTTCTAAATGGGTCACGTGGATGGATTTTCACTGTGCTTTTCTGGCTGTCATTGGTATTTCGGGTTTTGCATGAAGTGGGACAGTACAAGCTCTGAGTATTTGTGCTTGTGACATTTGATGCCCTTCAAGCTTCAAGGGGAGAGACTCCACACTCAGCTTAGTTCACGCCCAGAAGTAAAGGTCCTGTCACTTCACAGGACTCTTGGGTTGGGCTGCCCTGAGGTTAGTTGACATGAAGGCTGGGGTAGTCTCTCCTCCCCTAAAGACTAGTTGTCCTGTTCTCTTAGCCAAGGTTGACCCAAATGCTCTTTTTTTTTTTTTTAAGCTAGTAATAGTCCACTGGCAGAAGGAACTGAGTTTGCCGTGCTTCTCTGAACCATTCATTCAGGAATTCACCCTTTGTCTTCCTAGGAAAGACAGAGACCAGAATCCAATCAGAGTTCAGCATTCCAGGAGAAGGCGGGGCTCACGATGATAATGTGGGCAGGTAAAGAGATCTTTATGACAGCAAAGGACTTTAAATTTCTCACCTAGGACAGGGCTTCCTTTGTTTTGTAGCCACTTCAAGTCTTATTTCTATCTTTTCTGTTTCAAGTTTTAGAAACAGTGGGTGTCCCTGATAAAACCATCCAGGAGAGCCTCAGGGAGGAAGGCTGATGGTTTCAGAGGTATCAGTCCATCAGGGGAAGAAGGGTGTGATGAGCACATGAGTCCACCAGGAAGCAGATGAAACGGAGTAATGGAAGAGGCCAGGACAAGATACATCTCCTAAGGACATGTCCCAGGAATCTGCTTCCAGCTAGGCTCCCTATTGCATCACAGAGTTCTCAGCAATGCCATCACAGTGTGACGTCATCAGGAGAAAATGCGCTGCTTAGGTCAGAGCTCTCAGGCTCTGTGTCTGGAAACTCCATCACAGGTACACAGAGAAGTGTGCTTTAACAATCCAATAAAACTGAGGAGACTGACCGCCACAGGGGGAATTAATTTAAGCACTTCAATTTCCCCTCCTCATTGGCCCTTGCCTGTATCCCAGCAATAAGTTGAAGAAGGCTTTAGTATCAATTGTACCAGTTGTAGAGAGTTATCAGCCTTCATTTTTTGAGACTTGGGGTGACTGGAGCATCACCCAGGAAGTGAGGACACTTCTGAAGCCCTTGCCCTGTTGGCATATCTGAGTCTTTTCCAACCTCATAATTCAACTCATCTTGAATTTCATCCCTTACCCATTTCCTCTGTTTCATCACCATGCCCTTAAAAACCACCATCTCAACATTGTTGAGAGCATGCCGCCCACGAGTGCCTGGGTCACCAGGAACCACCACACTCCTCCCCACTCTGCCTCCATCCAGCCACTAAAGGCCATGCCCCAAATCGTTCCGGCAAATACGAAAAGTTTAAAGTCTTCCAATACCCTAATGTGGTGTCCCTAAAATGATGACCCATTTACTGTGAACTCTGGCCAAGTCAATCATCCCTCCATAGATTCCAAAGCTTAGGTATGGCCGCATCCAGAGAGATTTAAGGCATGACTTGCTACTCGATTCCAGAGTAGTTCACCTTTGTTCATTGACATTAAAAAATAGAGCGGGTGGCTAATAGGACACAGATGTTATGAAGGGAAAAATGAGAAAAATGGGGTTTAGGAGGGAAGGTAATTCTGAGTGGGTGAAAGGGTAGAGGGATAAAGAAAGTTAAACATGATTGAAAAAGCCTTGGGGAGATATACTATTTTATGTTTATGAAATTTGCATATTCTATATGTGTTTTAAATGACCTTATTCCTTGTGGGGGTGATAATGCTCCCCACAAGAGCCGTAGACTATTTATCAACAACCCAGTATCCAGATATGGGAAACTCCCTTTGAGCTGTTGGTCAGGGAAGTCCAAGAGAATCCCAAAGCAATATAGGCTGTTGCCATTGCCCATGAGTGCTCCCCAGAACTAGAAGGTAAGACCCATATACATCAGATACAGGACTCAGAGGAACCGAGCTAGAACTGACCCAAAAGCCTCCTTTCTGAGGACTAGCTCTCATAGTATTGAAAGGTGTTATGTAACCTGCCAAGGGAGGAAAGCAATCAATAGTTTTATCTGGCTATGACACCTACAAACCACAATAATGACCAGCACAGCAAGATATCTCTGAGGTGGTTCAAAAGAAAATTGCCCCCAAAGAGACTGGCACTATTAGGTGTGGCCTTGTTGGAGGAAGTGTGTCATCATGGAGGTGGGCTTTGAGGGCTTATATATGCTCAAACTATTCCCAGTGAGACAGACTACTTCCCGTTGCCTGTGAGACAAGATGTAAGAACTCTCAGCTCCTTCTCTAGCACTATGTCTGCCTGCATGCTGCCTTGCTTCCCACCATGATAATGGATTAAACCTCTGCAGCTGTAAGCCAGCTCTCAAAATTAGCTGTTTTCCTTTATAAGAGTTGCTGTGGTCATGGTGTCTCTTCACAGCAATGGAAGCCCTGAGATAATCTCCAAGGGTGCAATAGTGGCACTTATATCTTGGTGATAACCAACTGTCACCCAATTGAACTTAAGAGTTGCCCAGTAGGAAGGAATCTATGCTTACAGTACTAAGGTACTATGTACCTAGACAAGTACCTATGGCTGGAAAGGTTATGGGCCCTAGACAAGAACTCACTACTGCCATTTCCCTAAACCAGTATACTGTCTAACAGTGACCTAAATGTTTACTCTTATACACACAGAAGTATAGCTCAGACCTCTCATCAAAGAAGGTTTTTTTTGAGGGACAGGATGTCTGTTGTGAGACAGTGTCTTCTACACATTGCACTAATGAAATCTTAACAATTGGCTGCCTAACAAAGATTCACACAATGACAACACCAGTTGACACCTACCTTAGGTTTCTATTGCTGTGATTAAACATGACCAAAAGCAACTTGGAGAGGAAGGGGTTTATTTCGCCTTATGATACTGTAGTCCATTACAAAAGGAAGTCTGGCTAGGAATTCAGGGTGGAAACTCAAGGCATGAACTGAAGCAGAGACCATGGAGGAATGTTGTTTACTGTTTTGCTCCCCATGGCTTGCTCAACTAGCAATTTTTACACAATTCAGGTCCACCTGCCCAAGGGTACTGCCCACAGTGAGCTGGGCCCTCCCACATCAATCAATAAAATGCCCACAGACTTGTCTATGGGCAAATCTGATGGAGGCATTTTTTTTTCCAGTTGAGGTTCCCTCTTCCCAGATGACTGGAGGTTGTGTAAAGTTGACAAAAAACTAACCAACGCAACATCCTTGTGTGGATGGAGGAAATGTCACAAGGCCTCATCTTCAGATGAGGAGCCACAGGCAATTCATGGCTAATGAGACAGTCTTTTCAAGGGACAGGAAGGCTATTTAATCCCAACTGTTCATCTCCAAACACGTGAAGATATGAGCAATGCTAAAGGAACCCAGCAGGTTGTATTTATATATGCATGCATGCATTTGTTCATTTGTGTGTCTCTGTGTGTGTGTATGAATGGATGTACATCAATAATAATTAAAGAAGAATAATTCATTAATTCAAGGAGTTGGAGGGACATGGGCAGAGTTGGAGGAGCAGAGGATGGGGTGGAAACTATGTCAATACAGTACTCATGTATGAAATTCTCAAAAATAATAAGATAAATGTAAAAACCCACACAGTCATGCTCGCTATGTCTTTTGGAAGCTTCGGAAGCAGTCTGTGGTCTATTCTAAGATGGTAGAAAAAGGACATAGACATAACCTTCACTGTTGTACCATGTAATCATATAACGTGCTTATTATTCAAAAGGCCAGCGTTAAAATTCTAGACTTTGGCCCATGGTAAGGTTCATTTCCAGTAATCATTACTTACTTAAAAAAGTTGTCATCTCAAGAAATTTCTGCTAATACAAATGTTGTTTGTTCTGCTTTTGAAGCCTTCTCAGCCCTCTCTTCATTTGCGTCCTTGACTCTCCATGAAGGATGCCACCCTTAGGGCTGGAGAGACGGGCTCTGAGGTTAAGGGAATGTCCTGCTGTTCCAGATGACCCAAGATCAATTCCCAGCACCCCTACCAGGTAGCTCCCGAGTGCCTGTAGCTCCAGCTCCAGGGGGTCTGATGCCCTTATGCCATGGGCACCTGTGGTCATGTACACATACCCTTACCTAGACACACAGGCATAGCATATGTGCATACACAGAATTCGAAATAAAAATAAATTTTAGAAAAGGACACTGACCCCGAAGATGAAGGGAGCAAAGGCTGGCGTTGTTTGTCATAGAAAACTTGGCTGTCTGCAATCTAAGGGAACAGCAGCAAACACTGTTTCTAGTGTTCCCAGCCTACACGGCTGTGTTCACATGCCAGTCACTGACAATCTGTGGTAGGTGAGGTGGGCCAAGTCTCCTCTGTGCTTTGTGTTGTCTGTGTAGGATGCCTGTGAATGCTAAGAAGCCACTCTGGCATGGGGAAGCTGGAGGGCGTCTCTCTATCTGTGTGTTCCAAGCTTACCACAGGACTGTTTTCAGTGTTTTCTGTGCATAAGCTTTTTACCCAGAATTCTTGATGCCCATGAGCAAAAGCCAAGTGAATGGGTATAATGGGGAGGGACAGCAATCCTTCCTAGGCAGCCTAAATGAGGCCCCACACTCATATTTTACCATAAGCCATTTTTCCTTGGGAAGCTCGCTGAACTGCAGGCCAGAGCAGCAACTCTGTAGAAAAACTCAGATCTTTGGTGAGCTTGCTCTGCACAGAGCTCTGAACCTGCATTGTAAGCTTGGAACAGTACAGGTGGGGTGGATCCAAGGCCAGTGCTCAGATCATTCCAGTTGGAGACACACTATCCTGTCATAGACTGAAACCAGAACAAGAATGGGAGCTCCTCCCTGGAATGGATCCTCTATGCAGGGCTCAGTGTAAACACATTCTGGTCTGCATAGACCTGAAAAGTTTGATGGCCCAGGCAATAAGAACAGAGTAGGGTGCACAGAAGTCCATCATCTGCTCAAAGACTCGCTGCTATCATCTGTCTGCTCCCAGCTTCAACCAGTCTATCTGGTTCCAAAGCTCTTGCACTCAGGTCTGAGACACACTGGCACTTACAGAAGTGGTTTTCCAGTCCATGCACTAGACTCTGAATGTAAATGATATAAATTATATAGTCTTTATTTTTATAACATATTCTAGCAGGTTTTAAGAGCTAGTTTCTCTCTTTCTGCTTCTAAATGTTGGCAAAAAAAATAGTGATAGGCAGGGCTAGAATTAAGAAATAATCTGGGGAATTTTCTCTGGTGCTAGGATGGGACAGTTTGGTGCATAGATTATCTTGGCATCTGTGAAGAACACAGTAAACCAAATAGTTTACTTTCTGAGGAATTCAGAGGGTGTTCCCTTCTTTCCCATCCAACACAATCCTTCAAGTCCTTGGGGGAATTCCTGACCTCTGGTTTTATGTGCTGAGTAAAATAAGATGGCTAGCTAGCATCAAAGCCCCCCTGTAACAAAAGTGCTGTATAAAGAAGTTGAGTTGGAGTAGACAGATCAGTATGGGCCTTGCTAGATCAATCAGCCACATAATGACCATAATGTTGTTGAACAGATGGGATAGGCCAGCAGTGCACATGGAACTTACCTATGTGGCAGAAGACACCTGAGTCTTTATAACTATTCTTCGGTGTTATAGGAAAAGAGAGTAGTGAGACTTGATGAGGGGCACACAACTAGAACATGATGGAGCCAAACATCTCAAGGCTATATGCTCAAGTACATTCCCCGTGTCTCCCTTTGCTTAGTACTCTTG